ACATTAGATGAACATAAATGTCATGGGAAACATATAAGTTGGGGGCTCCCTCACTCCCTCTGTAAACCATCACAGTGTTCTGTGCCAATAAACTCCAACCACACACACTGTGACAGGGACACAAGCGTTAGACACAATGTCTCTTCTAGGCAAAGCTCTTGTCACTGTTCTTTGTGATTCAGTTATCCAACCCCGCCCTTCATTTCACCACTACTTTCTTTCACCTGTTTTTAATTTTTATTTTCCTAAGTCTTACAGGAATTGAAGAAAATCTAGTCTCCTGAATCTCTCTCTGTTCTTTATGCCCCATTCTTTCTCTCTCCATTTCTTTCCTTCCCATATTCTACCAACATTTCACCTAAACATCACAACTTGGCAATTATATACCTACTAACTTCCATTAAAACTATTTTAATTTTCCTGGGTTTAAATTCCAACAATGTGATAGGAGTATTATTTGATACTGTTATATTGAGAATTTTTATTACTTCTAGGATTTTGTGAACTAGATTGGAAACATAATAATCAGATTTAAGAATGTTAAGGTGAAATGTTTTTATCTGAACGTCAGATATATAACTTATTCTAAGGAAAGCTGTGTGGAGATTCCTCAGAACACTTAAAAATGGTTCCAAAATATGACCTAGCAATTCTACTCCTAGGTATCTACCGCTAAAACACATAAACACTAATTTGAAAGGAAACCTACACTCCTAAATTTATTTCAGCACTATTTATTTATAATAGTCAAGCTATGAAGACAACCCAAATGCCCCAAAACATATGAATCAAAAACATTTTTCATGACAAAGTGTGGTCAGTGATTACTCAGCAATCAAAAAAGACAAACTCATGCCATAGACAGCAACATGGATGGAACTAGAAAGGATTATGTTCAATGAAATAAGTCAGAAGGAAAAAAGATAAATACCAGATGGTTTCACTTCCATTTGGAATATAGAGAACCTGAGCAAAGGGTCGAGAAAAAGACAGAACTAGCAAGCTGACCTAGATCTGAGGCACACAGCAAAGGAGGGGGATGAAGGGAGTCAAAACAGGGGAGAGAAGAGCACAAAGAAATATGGTGATGGTTTGTGAACGGTGTAGTGGTGGGAGAACTATATGAACTACACCAGGAACCAATTACTGTACAGAATTGAAAAATATTTTTTTTAAATAAAAAAGATTAACAAGAAAAAATAAAAGTAAAAAATATTTAGAGGACCACAGATTATGGCCCAGTTAGCTTGGATCTGATACACCTCAACATTCATCCTTGTATCCATTCAGGCAGCATATTTTTATCTGCAATTGTAGGCTAAGCACTGGGTAAGCAACCAGGGGTCACATGATGGAAGGGTGAACTTGAAGTTGCCTCACAGAGAAGCCTCAGTGTGTAGATTGTGGTGAATACAGGGAAGGAAAGTTAGAAGCTGAGGCTGACTACTCGAATCTCACCTGGTTAGGGGTTGGACCAGGTACCCAGGTATGAGTAGGCTGAGGTGAGATCTTGTCAGTTAGACTTCAAGAATGCTATACCCTCTTCTACTCATGCTAGTCAAATTACTCTGATAAGAAGTAACTATATTTTTACACCTCACTTGATTTGTACTGAAATGAATAAAACTAGTTTTTATTTTTCCTAGTGAAGTCACAAGAATGTATAACTAGCTATTCAATGAATTACCTCCATGCTTATGTCTTTTTTTCTTAGCTTATGGGAAAATTATTTATGGGCATCTGAGGAAAGCCATTGTCACTGTTAATAGCTCCCTGGTGGTGCAATGGGTTATGATGCAGCACTGCAAGCTAGCCACAGCTGCTTCAGTGCAAGTTCGATCCCTGGCCCCAGAGGTGATCCACATGGTGTGGCAGACCTCTCCTGATCCGGCCCCTGCTCCCCTGCCCCTTCATTAATCTGCCTACTCTGCTCCCCACTCGTCTCTGGTGAAGCCTCTCACCACCCTTGCACCTCTTGCCTGTAACTCAGTTCTGTATGCATAAGTAAAATAAATCTTTTTTTAAAAAACGAAGATGATGATGATGATAGGTGACTATGTATAAAAGTGCCTAGCTTTGGGCTTGATATATAGGAGTCCTGAGATAAACATGAGATGAATCCAAAAATTCCTTGCAAAATGAGGAATAATATAGGAAAAACTCATAACTTTTTGAAGATAATGGCAATATTATTCCCCCACTGAGGAGACATTTAAAAGGCAGAGGTCAAACTGGCAAAAACCAGTAGGCTGACTTTGTTACATCAGGTCTGTTTCATGTTGAAAGGGATGCGATTTTTCCTTGGCATGTTTTTACTTATATAGTAAAAATTTTTATTACAATTCTACCACTTTTGATGGGTAATGAGAGAAACATAACAAATCAAACATGTTCAGATGAAAGGTGTTAGATTTAATCATACAGGTGTTTATTTAATATCTGTCCAGTGTGACTATGATGGTTTGGACTGCAGTTAGCAAACATCCACTCCCCTCCTGCACCCATAGTGGTCAGAGAGTGCTACCCATTCCCTTGGCTATGGACACGGCCATGTGACTGGCTCTGCCCAAAAGAATGTGAGTGAATGCAATACAAGGAGAGGCATGAGCAGGACTTGAGCAATAGTGTTTGCCCCTGTGCATCTGCGTCTCTCCATTGACTATGCCTCAGGTGGTCACTCCAAGAGGGATGAAAGGTACTCAGTGCAGACCTGACCCCAGCCACCACTTGAAGCCAGATCAGCTGATGTTAGCTGGCCCACAGATGGGCCAACTGACCTCCCACAAACTTCTTGTTTGAAAGTGAGTTTTGGGGGTAGGTTTGTTATGTCATGGTAAGGGCTATTATAATAGTCTCTTATTGGAGACTGGAGGGTAGGTATTGGAAATTAAACTGAAAGGCAGAACTAGAAATCAGATTATCTATTAGATAAACATCTAATCTAAATTTTAGAGATTTCATATGATGCATTACCTTTTGAAATGAAAAGCCTCATCCCCTACGGCTGCCTACAATCTGGAGGCAAACCTTCTAGAAAAGTGTTGCTTTCCAAACCCCAGCAGCATTGCAGTGCCTGGGCTTCCAAGAACCTTATATAAAGAAAGAGCCCATCTCACAGTATAGTTACTCAAAGCTAACATTAAAAAACTGGAAAAATACTAAAACTGTGAATTGCATGAGACCTAAACACTTAGATATGTTTTACTGAAAATGAATATTGTTTTGACATACATATTTTAAAAGGGCAGAAGACCTCACCCTCTGACAGCTTTTTAGGTTCAAGTTTTGGCTTTTCTGGCAGGCTAACTCATTATTGTGCCAGACAACCAGGATTCATGTTTCGCGGCAGGTGGGAGCCTCAATAATTTAAGCGAAATGTTGGCTCTTTCAGCCAAGGAAAAAGCAGCTCACCCAGGAATGTTGCATTAGAGCATCTGAATAGAGAGAATCATAATCACAAAATTGGAGCATCCTAGTGAGGGCAGGGAGGAAGGACTCTAACCCCTGGTTTCCATATTCTCCTTTAGCATTTCATATTCGAGCAATAGGAAGTATGGGAGAACTTTCTAGATGCTGTACTCTCAGAGAAGTGATCTGCAAGTTATTCTGGTTCCTTTGTTCTATGCAAATAAGACAAGCCATTACCCTCCTTTCAATTTTGAATTGAAATAGTTTTTTGCATAATTTATTCATAAATACACTTGCCATTTATTTTGCCTTATAAAAGTCCTTTTTATACTAGTTCAGAAGCATGAGAAATAAGAGAGTCAATAAATTTACCACTTCGTGGTAAAATTTTTATATCTTGCCTGAAAAGTGAGAGTCTGCAGTGGTTTCTTTTTGTGTGTGAAAAGATGAAAGTGAGAGTCTGCAGTGGTTTCTTTTTGTGTGTGAAAAGATGAAACTGTCAATTCAATGTCAAGATAACATATAAATAGCATATAGTACTTTTCATTCATTTACTATCATAAGTCTTAAAAACTGATGACATTGATAAAATAACATAATTATGTCAGATGTTTAAGAAATATAAATAGTATAGTCTATAGTATTGTTACTATCACAATGCTCTTACAATAAGGGAGAACTATCAAGATTATTTTGTGATTTTTTTTTTAAAAGAACATTTTTCAGTCTTATTTGTGAGGGACTTTTTCCTAACCCTAGAAGTCAGGATTTAATTTTTTTTTTTTTTTAAGATACATTTACTTATGCATACAGAACTGGGGTGCAGCAGGCCAGAGATGCAGGGGCAGTGAGAAGATTCACCAGAGGCAGAGTGGAGAGCAGAACAGACAGATCGATAAAGCTCCCTGCTGAGGGGAGCAGCGGGCCAGACAGGAGAGGTCTGCTGCACCACGTGGTCACCTCCAGGGTGAGGATCAAACTCGCACTGGTGGCTTGCTGGTGGTGGCTCACTTGCAGTGCTGCGCTGTAACCCATTGCGCTACCAGGGAGGGCCAGGATTTAAATCTTTATAAAATTATCTGTTGATAATTTTTACTCAAAAGAGGAACACTTTCCTTGAAATCAACTCAATTCAACTATTAAATATTGAAATATCCATACTATCCATGTACCTGATTATTTTTTACCAAGTTCTTATGAAGATCTTGTATACATTGCAAACTTTAGTATTTTTTTCTCTTAATAAGTGTAATAAATAGGGAACAAATAAGATAAAAGGCTTTATTCTAGACAATTTCATTTAGCATAATTTCAACTTTCAAATTATAGGAACATAAATGAATGTCCTACTTCTGTGTTAGAAGTACTTGACTACTTTGTGGGATGTTTTGTGCCAATTCTTTACTAAATTATCTTGGTGTTGCTAGGTAACACCACTGGCTTCCTGCAGCTGAAAAAAAAAACCCACAAAACACCAAAAAACAAAACCTGAGAGGGTTATAGGGAGCAATTTGGTGTTATTAGCATTAGACTAATGTTGTTTTCTTCTTTTTAACTGTATATCTATCTTAACATTTCCCTGTCTTTTCTAGGGTATGTCATTGTCTACGGTAATACAATCGACGCTTACACCACGGTGGAGACACTTTTACACATGGGCGTGAAAGGCTCCTGCATCTACATGGTGCAGACTCCAGCCACCTCCACCATCACCTGCATCAACAACTACTCCGTGGAAAACGCAGTGGAGGGAGCGCTCAGAGTTGCGGGAGTCACCATCTACCATGATGCTCTCCTGGCTCAGTGGAATGAGGGCCAGAACCCAGACCCCATTCACTGTGCATGCTTCACTACACCCACCAAGCCTTTTAGACTTCCTTGCTCTGTAAGTAGGTCCCTGTGAACTTCACTCATAGCCTGGGGAAAAATGCCATTTTCCAAGAACTTGGAGTCTGAAGGATGGTGGGCAGTGACTTTATAGTCATGTTAAAGGCTTTTTTTCTATTTAGGTGATCTATTGCTGAGTAACAATCACCAGCCTCTAAGTTTAGTGGCCTGAAGCAACAAGAATTATTTATTATCATTATTGCTACAGTCCTGGAGCTTGACAAGATCAACTGTTCATTTCTTACCTGCGGTTTATAATGTGGTTAATGTTAGACTGAATGGGGAGGGAATCAAGAAGACAGGTCACACATAGAGCAAGCTGTTGATGCTAGATCAACTTTAGTTTGAAGTTTTGGCCAAAACACTTATAAATGGCCCCTTTGTTTACTGGACTTTCTCTCATTATGGTGGCTTGTTTCCTGGAGTAATGAAGATGATAGATAGATAGATAGATAGATAGATAGATAGATAGATAGATAGATAGATAGATAGATAGATGATAGATAGATAGATAGATAGATAGAAAGAAAGAATAAAGAATTTCTATTACCTCATGACCTAGTTTGACCAGTCAAGTGACATTACTTTCCCCACATTCTGTTCACATTTGAACAATACTAACTACTTGCTATGACCCAGGAGTCATACTGTATGCTTGCACTGCATTCTGAAATTTCTTATAAAGGAATGTGTCCCATTTCATAGATGAGAACACTGAGACCATGCCACCAATATACTAGGATGCCAAACCATGACAGCAGGGCCTTTATGTTTATAAAGCCATGAAATGTGTAAAGATTCAGGAAATAGCAATAGTGAGTCTTTCCTGTGAAATAGCTATAAACAGAACATCACAGGGCCTTTTGTGAGGTGTGTATAACAGCTGACAGTTATGAGTGAGGAAAGGGGCCCAGTAATCTCATGAAAAATCTGGAGACTCCACCAAATGGGAGACAGAAGTCAGTGTGTGTGAAGGTTAAGGGCATAGGTTAGCGGATTGTGATAAAAAAAAAAAATGACTGCAGCATCTAGTGGGCAAACCAGGTGGGTGGAGAAGGAGGTGGTGAGTCGAAGACAGGGCTTGTCACCCAAATGTCCTTATGTGGTAATGATAACCTTCATTCCCTCACAGTCTAGATAAGGGCTCCACCACAAAGCAACTACTAACTCACAAAAAAGATTCCTCTGGAACTTCTCATTTTGTCCTGATAATTCACAGAAATTTTGCATTCTGCTGTTTAGGTACATATATATATACATATATATATATATATATACATTCAGTACACAAATACTTATTGAACATCTACTGAATCTTAGTTTTGTCTTAGGTAACAAGGATATAACAATGAAAACAACTGAAAAAATTCATTTTATTTGTAGATAAAAAGTACATTGTTTACACAGGTGTTTTACAACAACCACTTCCCTCAAAATTGATTATCTTGGAAAAACCTGAAGGATCCTGAGACCCTCTAGTTAAGCATAATACTCTGTTTAGGAACCAGATGTATTAAAAAAAAAAAAAAACTCTCCAAATAGCCAACAGAATACATATTCTCTAGTGCTCGCTCTCCCTTTTTCAATAAAGATAGAAATCAGGCAAAGACAACTTCCAAATATCCTCAACTGCTCTGAGTCAACATATCTTCCAGCTAAAACTTTGTCCTGAAGCAACTCAGTGAGACCTAGGCCTGTGCCCTGCCTCCCATACACTGCTCTGCACCACTCAGATCCCTTCTGCAGATATTTCCCAGATACATTTGATTTCTGACTTCCGTCTGGGTTTAGCTAACAAGAGGTGCTCGCAGATTAGATATGGTAAGAGTGGGAAATACCAAGATATTTACTCTTCCTATTGTCTGTTTTAGGCATCATCCCTGCAAGGGCATTAGGAGAATTTGGGTGGGAATGAATATATTATTTTTTTTAAAGATTTATTTATTTATGCATACAGAACTGGGGTACAGGCCAGAGGTGCAGGAGCGGTGAGAGGATTCACCAGAGACAGAATAGGGGGCACAACAGGCAGATTGAGGAAGTTTACTGCTGAGGGGAGCAGCGGGCGGGTGAGGAGAGGTCTGCTGCACCATGTGGTTCACCTCCGGGGTGGGGATCAAACTCATGCTGAAGTGGCTTTAGCATCTTAGTGTGGTGCTTCAACCCGCTGCACCACTGGGGAGGGCCCAGGAATGAATATATTCTTAATGTTGACAGTCCAGTGCATTGAATTCTGCTTTCCATAATATATCGAAACTTCTAGTCCCTAATACCTGTGAATGTGACCTTATTAGGAAATATGGTCATTGCATATTTCAAGTAAAGTATTGGGTTAGTGTGGGCCCCAAATCCAATGATTCATGCCCTTATATGGAAAGGAAGATTTGATCTCACAGAGGAGATACTGGAGAAGAAGCCTGTTTGATGATGGAGGCAGGGATTAAGCCAATGGCAGCAACAAGTAATGGAATGACAAGGACTTCCAGCAGCCACCAAAAACAAAGAGGAGGCCAGTAAGAATTTTTGCTTAGATACTTGGCCAAGAACATAATTCTGACACCCTGGTTTCATATAGTTAGTCTCCAGAACCATGAGAAAATAAATTTTGGTTGCGTACTTTGTTATAATAGGCTTAGAAAATAAAAATAAATGGTGTCACATGTACAAGCCTGATAAATTATAATTGGAATCATGCATTGTATTCTATTTTATATTTCACATATTTCACTAAGTACAGTGATACTGAGATTCATTCATATCATTTCATGTATCGATAGTTCATTCCTTTTAAGTGCTGCGTAGTATTTCTTCATATAGATAAATCACGTTTTGTTTATTCACTCTTGCCTCTACAACACATTTTAATATATATCTTTGTGTGGACATACTTTTTTTTTTAAGTTTTTTTTTTAAAGCATACAGAACTGGGGTACAGGCCAGAAGTGCACAGGTGGTGAGAGGATTCACCAGAAACAGAGTGGGGATCAGAACAGACCGACTGACAAGTACACTGCTGAGGAGAGCAGCGGGCAGGTCAGAGGAGGTCTGCCTCGCCATGTGGCCAACTCCGGGGTGGAGCTCGAACTCATGCTGAAGTGGCTTTAGCTTCTTAGTGCTATGCTTTAACTTGCTGCACCACCAGGGAGGGCCCAGACATACATTTTGTAATACCTAAGTTTTAAAAACTTATTTTACAAATGATCATTGCAAATCTATAAAATGAAGTTGATTTTGTATATAAACATTATAAACCAAGACTTTGCTAATTCACTTACTAAAGCTATTAGTTACTTTCCAGATATGTGAATATATCATCTGCAAATAGGAACAGTTTTACTTCTTTCCAATATTTAGGAGTTTTATTTGTTTGCTTTTTCTACTAGTTATGGCCTCCAATGCAGCATTAAATAGAAGTGGGGAAAGTGAACATCCTTCCCTTTTTCTGCATTTTAAAAGGCCTTCATCATTAAACATTAGGGTTTCTATGATTACTTTTATCTGACTAAGGAAGTAACTTTTCATTCCTAGTTTGTTCAAAAGATGTATCATGAATAGCTATTGAATTTTGTCAAATGAATCTTCCATATCTATCAAGGAGTTCATATTCTTTTCTCCTTTTGTTAACAGGTAAATTTTTAAATGTGCAATCAACTTTACCCTAATCATTCAAGATATGTTATCCACCTACATATTTTTAAATTTGGTTTGCTAATAATTTCAAGAAAGTACAATTATGTTGTAACTGTAATCATGGATGTTGAACTATAATTTTCTGATATTTTAATGTCTTTGTAAATAAAATTTGTGTAAGGTTCATATTATTTCTTCCTTGAATGTTAGATAGAATTGATCAGGAAACCACCTGGATCTAGAGTTCACACTGTGGGAAATTTTTTTATGATTCAATTTCTTTACTAGCTATAATGCTATTCAGATTTTCTCCTCTTATGTCAATTTTGGTAAACTATATTTTTCAATAAATGTGTTCATTTATTTTTTGTCATTAAGTTCATAAATTCTTACTACTTAATGTCTGTTGTCTGTAGTAGTAATAACTCCTCTTTCATTTCTGATACTGATGAATTGTATTCTCTCTCATTTTCTGTCTAGCTAGATGGTTGTCAATTTTATTGATTTTTTTGTTCAAAAAAAAACCCACCTTTTGAGTTTGTTATTTTTCTGTTATTTGTCAGTTTTCTCTTTCATTGATTTCTGCTCTTAATAGTTCTCTTCCTTCTGCTCTCCTTGCACTTACTTTGTCCTTTTTGAATTACTTAACGAATAACTTAGGTCAATGATTTATATATGCATTTAAAGCTCTCTACGTTCTCTTCATCATTTAGCTGTGCACCATAAATTTTAATATATTGAGCTTTTTATATCATTTAGTTTAAAAAATTTTCTTGATTTCTAACTTAATGTCTTGTAATCAAACACATATTCTTTAAGATTTCAATCCTGTAAGAGTTATTGAGACTTGCTTTATGTCCAACCATATAAATGTGGCTTATAAGTGAATATATAAATGTACGTAGTTTACACTTATGGGTGCAGTGTTCTATAAATAACAATTAGTTCAGGGTGGTTGATAATATTTAAATATTCTATGTATTATTTTATTTATTTATTTTGTCTAATTCTATCGATTGCCAAGAGAGAAATATTATATTCTCTTTCTATTGTGGAATTTTCTATTTCCCTATAATTATGTTAATTTTGGTTTATTACTTTTGAGACTCTTATTAAATACCTGAACATTTATAATTGTTATAGCTACCTCTTGAATTGTCTTATATCATATGAAATGTCTTTATCTGATAATGTCCCTTACAGTAAAGTCTACTTTATATAACATCCTGTTTGGAAAAAATTTTGTTCACTTATAATACCATGTAAATTTCAATAGTACAACTTCTACACCTTAATATGTGTATATACCATTCACATTATCAAATTGACCTCCACTGCCCACTCCTCTGTCTCCCTTTTTCTTTTCCCTCTCGTTATCAGCATACTTTTCCCAAAGCCCTTGTTATTTTTGTTATGGTTGGTTATTTTATTTGCTTTGTTTACATATAACTGAAATCATCCAGTAAATAAATGTCTTTCGCTTTCAGACTTACTTCACTTAAAATAGTTACTCCAGATCCATTCATGTTGTTACAAAAGGCAAGATGTCATCTTTATTTAAATAGCCGAGTAGGATGCCGTTGAGTGTATCTATCACAACTTCTATATCTGATGCCCTTTTTATGTTTACTGTTTGCAAGATGTATTTTTCCATCCATTACTTTCATCAATGTCTTAGTATTTAAAATGTACTTATTATAGGTAGTATAAAGTAGCTTCTACTAAAAATTCTATAACACATGTCTTCAAACTCAGTGATCCAAAACAACAACCATCAAGTTGTTTTGGACTGATAATGTTTGGACTGATAAGTCTGAAGTCCAATCATGGGGTTGCTAACTTCTCTGAGCAGGAACTGGCAGACTAAAATCAAGACAGCATGGCAATTCTTGTTTTAAATAGTCAAATATATTTAAAAGAACTTAAGAAAAAACAGGTGTTTATATTTACCCTGCTATTTTCCACATTTATTGTCTTTCTTCATTTCTAAAAATCCAAATTTCCCTCTGATACAATTTTCCTTCATCCTAACCAACTTTCTATGGCATGAACAATGATAGTTGCTAGTAACAGATTTTTTAGTTTTCTTCTATCTGAAAATATGTTTTATCTTCATTCTGAAAGGGTATTTCCACAACTGAATTCATGGACTTACAAGTTAGTTTTTCTTTTAACACTTTGAATATTTTTTTTTACTAACTTCTGACATCTATGAGCTTTAATTTTAAAAACCTGTAGTCATTCAAACTATTGCTTCCATGTCTGTAATATGCCATATACCCTGTAAATTTTTTTTTAAGATTTATTTATTTATGCATATAGAACTGCAGTACATGTCAGAGGTGCAGGGGTGGTGAGAGGATTCACCAGAGACAGAGTGGGGAGCAGAAACAGAGTGGGGAGCAGAACAGGCAGATCAGTGAAGTACACTGCTGAGGGGAGCAGCGGGTCAAGAGAGGTCTTCTGCGCCATATGGATCACCTCCAGGGTGGAGCTCCAACTCATGCTAAAGTGGCTTTAGCTTCTTAATGCTGTGCTTTAACCTGCTACACCACCAGGGAGGGCCCATACCCTGTGGATTTTTTTTTTAAAGATTTATTTATTCATACAGAACTGGTGTACAGGGCAGAGATGCAGGGGCAGTGAGAGGATTCACCAGAGACAGAGTGGGGAGCAGAACAGGCAGACTGATGAAGTATACTGCTGAGGGGAGCAGCGGGCGGGTCAGGAGAGGTCTGCCGTGCCATGTGGTCTCCTCCGGCGGGATCGAATTCAGAATTCATGCGGAAGTGACTTAAGCTTCTTAGTGCTGTGCTTTAACCCACTGCACCACCAGGCAGGACCCTCCCCGTGAATTTTTAAGATACTGTTTTTATTTGTGACGTTCAGCAGTTTGATGCTCTGAGGGCTATGTGTCTACTATGTCTCAAGGCATGACTTTTCTTGGATTTATCCTATCACCTTGAATCTGTAAGTTTATGTTATTATAACTTTGCAAAAGAAGTGTTCATCTGAGTCCATGATGAGTGAGGTTATCAGATTGCTATTAATTAATCTGCTAATGAGGAGCTTTGCTCTCCTTAGTCAGAATTATAAATATAAATATCTCTCTAGATCAGTATGATGTGGCCAAATGTTTCTACTTTATATTTTTACCCAATACATGATATTCAGTTGGCATTTTAGGACAAATAAGTTTTATTAAAGACAGTCTTTAAGTGAGAACAAATATTGCCATAAACATGTTAGATTTGCTGATTTTGTTTTAACCTAATGCACAAACCCCAGATGTAGCCAAATTGTGGATGCTTGCACCCAGAACAATTTAAAATAGTTATTTTGCAATACCAGTAATCTTTAAGATTTAGAACACTAAGAGCTAGAATATTTAATGTGCTAGCTAAGCAAAAATTAGTTTTAATTAGGAAAAAAGAATAGGTAAAAGTACTTTATGGAGCTGCAAAGGGAGATTTCTGGGTATTTTCAAGGGCTTAAGACATTGATGGTACCTCTTTTTGTGAATATTTTTAATTCAAATAGTGACTGTTTTCATGAGTGGGAAATGTATATAGATGGGAAAGGACTAGAGGAATGAAAAAAGAAGGATTAGGGAGGCTGAAATAGGGTCAGAAAACAACTCAGAGGAGTCTCTTTTCCTACAGTCATTGAATAAGCTTAAAACAGAAAAAAATTTAAAAAGATTTGAAAGATGGAAACTGCCTGCAATGGGAGTAATTGGGCTAGGATAAGATAACTGAGTGAACAGAGGCAGGAAAAAATGCAAAGACCTTGTTGGTTCCCTGAGGGAGAACAAAGGACATCACCGAGATGAGGGATCTTCGTCCAGTGCTGTCCAGTGGTTTATATCTGTTTGTCCGATATGGCAGCTGAGTCCCTTTAGCTTTTGAGCATTTGAAATAAGCTACAAAAGTGAGGATCTGGATTTTTATTTTATTTCCATTATTTTAGCCTTAAATTTGCATGGCCATGCTTGGCTAGTGGGTACCACAGACTCATTCCAGAATCACTCACCATTAATGTACATTCATTATGGAGGGGATGTGAAAGAGGAATTCCTCTGACCCTGAACAGCTGATTTCTAGACAAAATGTTATAGGTGAAGTGAGTAAAGCAGTCATAAGATGGAAGCAGGGGGGTGGCTATCATTGTGATCATGACCTGAGCCATGTGTCCATTTATTTTAGCCTGCTTTTTATAAGATAGCAAATTACATTTAGGTTGAGATAAAAAATGATTCAACTTAGCTAGTTCAACAACTGAACATTTAAAAACAACTAACTTGTACTCCTTAACATGAAAAAGCATTGAAGTTTGGACAGAAAATAGAGGGGAAAACAGTTCACTTCCAAGTTTTATGCAAAAGGGGTACAGTTCCTCTACAGTGCTTGGCAAATTGTAGGTACCCCATAAATATTTCTTAAAAGACTGCCCACCAGGTAAGGGAGAAACAAGGTAGATGCCCCAATGTGAGAGACACAGGCTAATGGGGTTCCAGCCTTTTTGAGGCTTCCTGTGGGGACAAGCTTTCTGGGATTAGAAGGCTAGGGATGGGGCCCTCCCTGGTGGCGCAGTGGGTTAAAGTGCAGCACTAGGAAGCTAAAGCCACTTCCACATGAGTTCAATTCCCGCCTGTCCCGGAGGTGACCACATGGTGTGGCAGACCTCTCCTGACCCACCCGCTGCTCCCCTCAGCAGTGTACTTCGTCGATCTGCCTGTTCTGCTCCCCACTATGTCTCTGGTGAAGCCTCTCGCTGCCCCTGAGCCTCTGGCCTGTACCCCAGTTCTGTATGCACAAATAAAGAAATCTTTTTTAAAAAAAAAGGCTAGGGATGGGACCATCTGAAAACTCAAAGTGGATGAAGTGACACCAAGAAGGAACCTAGAGAAACCTAAATGTCAGAAACAGGAGGAGGGATATGGAAGGAGACTGAGATAGAACTGTTCAAATGCAAGAGAATGAGGGGAAAGTAGATGAACATAAAAACGTAAATTTTCTCTATATTTACTCTTCTAGTAGATATTCCATCACTTAATGCCTTTCTCTTTAAGAGACAATCCCGTCCTCTCTCCTTGCTCTCTCTCGTCCACACCATTAAAAGGAGCTTTTAGTATACTTTGGGTGCGCCCCAAATAATAATGCTCTAGAAATCATTCACACTCTTGTAAAGATAAGATTGAAAAAGATTGCTGGGTAATGATGTAATTGTTCACTTCGTAGATATTCTTCAGCTTCTGTGAAAAGAATGTGGACTATGAAACTTTTAAAGCACTCAATGATGCATGCCTTGTCTATGATGGCCGCCTGGTGATTGATACTAATTTCCACACCAATGACATAGCTATCAGAGCTGCAGGCACCCTCACAAAATTCTCCAATCGATATTACTCAAATGACTGGACTCACAGCAACTTCAGTTCCAAAGAGATTGGCTTCCAGCTAGCAGCAGCCATGCTTAACCTCTTTGATCCAACCCTTGAGCCTATAATGGAACCACCCTCTGATCTTGATCGACTCATCCCCATGTACAAGGGAGCCAAGATTCAAGGTGTGTAGTAGGCCACTTTCTTCCCTCTGCTGGAATCACCAGTTAGGCCAGGATCAACACTAGATCAGTCCTCCATGTTTTTCAATGCAGAGGCTTTTTTGAATCTTAGTTTGCACAGAGAAGAGAAGGACTCTCATTTATTTATTTTTTTTTAAGATTTATTTATGCATACAGAACTGGGGTACAGGCCAGACTACAGGAGTGGTGAGAAGATTCAACAGAGACAGAGTGGGGAGCAGAACAGGCAGATCAATGAAGTATACTGCTGAAGGGAGCAGTGGGCGAGATAGGAGAGGTCTGTGGTGCCATGTGGGTCACCTTTGGGGCCACGAATTGAACTCTGCACTGAGGCACCTGTGGCTAGCTTGCAATGCTGTGCTTTATCCTGTTTCATCGCCAGGAGGGCCAGGACTCATTTATTATAGCATTATTATTATGATGATCTTTTGAAACTTGGGTCTTTATTAAAAACCATATAGTAGGCCCTCCCTGGTGGCGCAGCGGGTTGAAGCACAGCACTGAGAATCTGGAGCCGCTTCCTCATGAATTCGATTCCCGCATGCCCTGGAGGTGACCACATGGCATGGCAGACCTCTCCTGGCCCGCCCGCTGCTCCCCTCAGCAGTGTGCTTTGTCGATCTGCCTGTTCTGTTCCCCGCTCTGTCTCTGGTGAAGCCTCTCACCACCCCTGAGCTTCTGGCCTGTACCCCAGTTCTGTATGCACAAATAAAATGAAATCTTTAAAAAAAAACCAAACATATAGTAAATGTGTTTCCCATTTTACAAATAAGGAAACAGATGAGGGGATGTTCAGTAACTTGCTCAGTGATCACTTCACTGATGAGTGCATAATGCCCTGACATCTTACCCAAACTTTCATTCTCACTCTAAAGTCAGTAATAAGGAGTCGCCTCCAAGCATCCCAGGCCTTAGACTGTTACTCTGCTATTTGGACGGAGGAGAAAACCATTTGCAGTGGCAGAATGGTTCACTTTTTTCCCCTCAATCTTTTTGATGCCTATGGTAATATCATAAGAGTAAAGAATTGGGGTGAGGGGGTAGTGAGAGATATCTTTGAAAATATTGTCTTTTAATGTTGTGTACCTTTTATCCAAAACATGCACATATTTATAAAATTGTATATTCACTTTCAGAAGGCTGATGGGCCAGTGACCCTCTCCAGTGTCCATGTACATATACAGAATGTCAAACTAAAGAACAAAAGCCTTACATTTCAGCTCTTGGTTTGGCTTTGTTTTTTTCAGCTTCACTAAATGGTCTTTAGAGATCTTGCTCTGCTTCTCAGTCCAATGAGACCTTCCTTTCCAGTTAGGAAAGGAAGAGAGGGGTGGGTGTCAGAGGCCAGAGCTCAGTCAAACTCACACTTCTGGGGCAAGCTAGAAATAGTAAGAATTAGAAATGGTAAGAATTTGATACTGATAGTTTTCTAAAAGAGTGATCAAGAACGTCACTGCTTTTCTTTATCCTATTTAGCTTTTTAACATTTTGGTTACATTTGGAAGGAGTGATGGGGAATGGGAACCCCACTGTAACACTGAAGGCCCCTCACGAAAGGCTTTGATAGGCTAGAATAGCAGGAGCAGGAAATCCACAGGATACAAGGCATCAGCTCGACACAGCTTGGAACAACAGTGGCTATATTATTATAGGGTATAAAGGCACATGCATGTTGATTTTATTCAATAAAGCTTAAACATCCCAGGGTGTGACTTACTGTTTATTAGGAGTAGCATAAACTATCAGTGTCATCTCTACCTTGCCTGTGATACAAATATATTAATGCCGTTACCATATTAACAACTAAATTAACTGGTATAATACTTGCCATTTCTTCTAGGAGGCATTCTTCCAGGGTCTTACCATTACCTACATATTGCCAAGCCTGCCATTGTAACACCTTTGGAGGTACATAGGGCACAGTCTGATTTTGTAAGTATTATTCTTGAATTTCACTTATAATACTTTGTTTACAGAGGGGTTAAATTCTTTATTTGGTCTTTAGTGTAATGCATTAGCTCATGCATCAGAAAGCCACTGTGGTAGCCAGTCCCTACTGGCCAATGAGTCTTTCCCCCCTGGCATTCATGACCTCACATGGTCCCTTTCCACAATGAAGGGGACTGACCTGTGTGTCCAGTGGGATATAATGGAAATGACAGTGTGTGGCTTCCAAGCCTAGGTCATAAAAAATATTATAACTTCCAACATGCATCATTCCACCCTCTCCCTGGGTCATTTGCTGCCAGGTTGAAAGGTCACCAAGCAAACTCTTTGGAGAGGTCTATGGTGAGGATTTGAGGACTGCTGCACCAGCCATTGGAAGTTTGTTGGTTATTTAAGGGAGTTGACTTGATAAGAGGGTCTTCCAGCTTCACTCAAGCCTTCAGATGATGCAGCCCCAACCCACATTTGGTAACAGCTTTATGGGATACCATGAACCAGAACCTCCCATCTAAACCACTCCCAATTTCTGACACCTGAAAAATGAGAGAATAAAAGTGCATTGTTATTTTAGCCACTATTTTTAAATATATATGTATATATATATATATATATATATATATATATATATATATAAATAATGTGTGTGTGCATATATGTGTGTGTGTGTACACATATATTTATTTATTAGAGCAGCTTTAGGTTTGTGGTAAAATAGAGAGGAAAGTACAGCGATTTCCTATATACCGCTCTGCGAGTTTGGACAGAAGTACCATCACATGGCTCTACCATTATACTATTTCGCAGAGTAGTTTCACCACCCTAAAAGTCCTCCATGCTCTGCCTTCTCCTATCCTCAACCTCTGGCAATTACTCCTATCCTCAACCTCTGGCAATTAATTATTCTTACCATAGTTTCACCTTTTCCAGAATGTTACACAGTTGGAATCACACAGTATGTAACCTTTTCAGATTGGCTTCTTTCACTTAGTAACACCTATTTGTTTCTTCAGTGCCTTTTCATAGCATCACTCATTTCTTCTTCTCCACTGAATACCATTTCACTGTACAGTGTCACAATGTATTTATCCATTCACCTACTAGAAGACATTAATACACAAAGCTCTGAGGAGGTAGTAGTCTGGAATCATCAATGAACAACTAAAACCACCACCTTTGTAGCACTGTAGCAAGTAAATTGCTTAGGGTCTTCAGTGCCTGTTCAGAGCCACTTGTCATCCTGTGCTCCCTGAAATACACGCAAGGAGCTATCCAAGAAAAGTATAAGTTGCAGGTGGGGTATCTTCTGGGCTAGAAGGAACCAGAAAGGATATACCTAGCTGGTCAATTGGATAGGTCCTTAAATAAGATTCTTGGACAGATGCTTTCACTGGTGTTTGTTGTGAACTGGGGTTGGGGTGGCGGCTTTTCTCTGATGTGTCATATTTTCTTTTTTGTCAGTGAGGAAGACACTGGAAGTTACTTCCAGTCTTATCTCAGCTATTTTGGGAGTACCGATATGACTGACTAAAAGAAACGTTTCCCAGGGAACTGGACTGGCCATGTGGCAGGTTGTGATCAATAGGAAAGTCTTTAGCCAACAGTAGAAACTACTGGAAAATTCCTTAAAGTGAGCAGACTCATAATGGCATAGGTTACTGGCCCCTTGCATTTCAGGAACTCAGAATCCCAGCTCTTCCATTTATTTCCCATGGGCTCTGAAAAAGTTTTACAAATTCTCTGCATTTCTAGGATTATTAGGATCATGTGTGAAATGACAATGATTTGAAGGAACAGAAGTGCCCATGGGCTTATTGACACCACCAGTCAATGGTGGATGTTGTTGTTAATCATAGTTACAGGAAAATAATGAAAGCTGACTTTTCCAGGTAAAGGACAGCTGCTATATGTTTAAAATTCGTTTCCCTTGACCCTGCCCCAGATTCTTTTAGGTGTTTTCTGTACACGTCTGATGCAAAATTTTCTTACAAATGAAAAAAAAAATGTAGTAAATGGTGCTCCAGTTTCTACTGCTGTGTAACAACTTGGCAACATGAAGCAGCCATTTGATTTTGTTCACAGATTCTGTGGATTAGGAATTCAAGCAGGGCACAGTGGGAACAGTTTGCTTCTGTTCTACAATGTCTGGGGCTTTGTTGGGAGGACAAGAAAGCTTAGGAGTGACTCAGTAGCTTGATCATTTGAAGGCTTAACATCACTGAAAGCTTGCTCTAGGGTCATTCAAAGTGAGAAACCTTCCAGGTATCATGCCTGGGTTTCCTCACAGCATGGCATCTTGGAGCAATTAGACTTCTTATGGGACAACTGAGGGTTCCAAAAGCAGTGTCCTCACCAGCAATTTAGGATTGATGTTTTGATCAGCCTGAAAAGTCATACCATATCACTGACCTAACACCATCTGTTGGAGAAGCAACAGCCCACTAGTATTTAAGGAGGGGGGGGGCGGCATAGAATTCATCTCAAGGGGAATATCGTTGTGATCATCTTTGGAAAAATCATATGCCACAGATGAGGTGGGACAATAGATAAAGAAGATGAACTACAGTGTTTAGTGACTGAGCACATTGGTCTTTGTAAAGAATGGATATGTACAAGAGGTAGAAAATACAAGACTTAGTTTCAGACAGAAGCAGATTCTTTAAGGACATTGTGTGATTTCCTACATGCCGTGTCATTATTTATGAACCACTGGCTCTCTTTTTGAATAAAGTCAGAGGAGGAGCCAAAAGGGGGTTTTAGATAATGAGTTTTAATAAGAATGCAACTTAAATAGATTCTTTGGCTGGTGCTATGACAGTATTTGAACAGGACCCCTGACTTTAATTAACCATTTGCCAGGTGGGCCTCATTTTTAATTAGTACAGAAGATTTAAACAGATTTCTTCCATTTTATTCTCCAAGAAAAAAAAATTGTAGGATGGTTCCATGGCAATCTTTTGGAGTTGGAATTAATTTGATTAAGTAAAATTGTTGCCAAAATGGTCAGGCAGTCACCGAAATATAACCAATTGATTGAGAATAGAGGCCATTGAACATGATTTCATTAGAAAACTAAATTAATATTTTTACCTAATATGGATGGATTTTATCAAACTTTTATGCCCTCATTAATTGGAATAAAAGATACTATAGTAATTCATGAGCTCCCTGAGAGGTAACCCAACAAAAGGAAGAGAGGGGACCCCAAGTCATCTACATAATAAACTAATTTACAGATTCCCATCCACATGCTTTGTTGGCTTATACACCATGGAATAAAGAAATTTGTCACAACAAATTCTGCTTTGGATGCCATTAAATTTAAAATTGTGTGTTCATCATGAGAGCTAGGAACTTGATTTCTTGCACAATAAGTCTGATTAATCTTGTCTTCTATTTGGCCTGAATTCCAGAGCTTTTCCCAACCTTTGTCAAAATCATGAAGGATAACTTGTATTCAGAAAAAAAAGGAAGAAAGAAAAACCCACAGTAGAATCAGTTACACTAATCAAAATCTAAAATTCAAATTCCAAATTTCCTAATAATTTACTTATACACTTAAAGGAAGGAACTAGACATATCCCACAGAACTGGGACATGTGGGAATAATTATCATTGCTACAGAATTCTTCATGGAGTGGCAATGCTGGAAACTACCTAAGTCGTCATTTAGTAAGGTGTTTTTTTGTTTATTTTGTGAAAATAGGCAGAAAGAGTTCTGCATTTCACTAGATTTTTCTGATAGCAACTGTGAGTAGGGGTGACCTAGGAAATTTAGATAGGTCTGCCAAGTCCTAAAGAACAATTTATGTTTGAGAAATGTTAATGTAAATAAGTTATCTTTAATACCAATGCAAAATATTTGTATCCCAAATTCCCAGAATGCCCCCCCAGTTATGCTCATGCAGTGCCAAATCTCGTTACTTTTTTGTATCTATTTACATTATTGTTCATCTTATAACAATGTTTACTTCCTCCTCCCCTTCCTGTCATCACCATAGCCCCCACATTCCACCCTCTTTCTGATCCCTCTCTGTCCCCTTCCCCTGTAGTATCATTAAAATGGACACAATTACTTCCAAAGTTAAGGTTAACTGTCATACAGTCATTTCCTTCCCAACATGGGAACTGTTTTCTGTACTTTTCAAGCCCTCATTTCTATAATGTGCTAAAACATAGGCAACTCAAAGAATCTAATTCAGTCTTGAAATTAAACCATAAAAGACCCCCAAACAAACAGATCCATGGCAAGGCATTGAAAATAACACAAACATTTCCACAACACACTGACATTGGTGGGGAGGGAGACACATACCATTCAGGCTTTCTGCCAGTAACCAACCAGGGTTCTGCCAGAATTTGTCAAGATGTGATCAATTAAGTTACTCTGGTCTGAATCTTGAAGAGCTTAGCCTGACGCAAACCCCTTGAAACATGAAGTTCTTGTGAATATATAGTGAAACTCTGCAAACCAAGATTTAGTCAGCCACTTGGGCAGATCTTAAGGAATGTGCCTTTGATACCTGGGTTCCCTACTTTAATCACTCAGACATTTTTGACAGGAGAAGGGTAGGCCAAGGCCTTGTGGGATTGTTAACTCCACTCTTCAGCAAGCTCTGGGGAAGCCTGGTGGCTAAAACTATGACAGAATCAGATTTTCTCCCTTGCCATAGTGACTGTGAAGTGGCCTTCCAACCCTGGGAGTGGAGAGCTAAATCTAAATAGCTGCCAATGCTAAATTCAAATGGTCTTTAAAATCTTGTATTTAAACTTACAATTGGATATCATTGCTTCACTCTCATAAGTCTATGTGTATTTAATTCAGAAATGGTGGTTATGAAGTCAGGTCACCAAGTAAAGTCAGTACCGGGGATTCTTCTATGATGCCACCTTTCCACCCTGTGTGATAGTCTTTGTTCAAATCTGTAAAGTCAAAACTTGAAAAACAGATCTCAATGAAATAAAAAAATCCATAGGCCATCTGGAACTAGAGAACTACTGGTTGCAAGAGTATGCTTACCGCAACTCAGTATATTTAAATTTTTTTTATCATTTTAGAAGTGATAGACATTTTTTAAATATAGAAACTGTAAGTAGTCAAACAGAAAGTGACAAAAATGACCCAATCTCTTAACCACAGCAAATGACCACTAACATTTTGTTAAAATGTTGATACAAATAATAGTACCGTGTGTTTTTCTAAAAATAGAATGATGTTGAGAAAATTATAAAGTAGTATAAAATGTATATTATTCTTCTACAGTGAAAAATTCACTGTGAATATATTTTTTAAAGATTTTATTTTTATGCAAACAAGAGCTGGGGTGTAGGCCAGAGGTGAGGGTGCGAAGATTTACCAGAGACAGAGTGGGGAGCGGAACAGGCAGATCTACTGAAATACACTACTGAGGGGGGCAGCAGGCAAGACAGGAGAGGTCTGCTGTGCCATGTGGGTCAGCCACCTGGCTTGGGGTTGAACTTATGGGTACATGGCATGGCCTGTGTGCTGCACTGTAGTTGTTAGAGGGCAACTTACTGAATGTTCCTTCCACTTTGTCTAGAAGGTAAATTTCCTCTGTCTCCAACCATTATGCTGAATGATGGACCATTTACACCTCCCTTGAAGTGCCATCCCTCAATGCCTTTCCTATGTATTTATGCTCTCATGCATCCCAAGATACCCAATTCCTCACCCATACTTGGTGTTAGTCCAGGATGCACAACACATCCCTCCTTATAGCTTATAATTGACTGATTTCCATTTAGGGCTTTGCCACGTGGTACCAACCGCCAATCAGTTGCTTCAATTTTAATTTAACATCTAGTTAAACCATGTGTCCTTGTTTGGAAAAAATTCCCAGAGGATGTATGTACAGGATCGTTGTAGTCCAACTTGCCTTGGCTTTCTAAATGTCACACTACGTTCAAGGCAAAAGCTTAAATCTAGCTGCACTCAGTAAAGATGTATTGAATGTTTCCATGCACTGAGTTGAGAATCTGGGCAGGTTCAATCACCACCAACATAACCTATGTTTCTCCTCCGAGGGTCCCCAGTTTAGCTTCCTGAGTCTGTGGGGAGTGGTGTTTTGTTGGTAGGCCAATAGACATGAAATAGAAAAAGAGGGAGTGGTATAAAGTAGAGAAGCAGCATCTTTCCTTATCATCTGTTTCCCCAGTTTCTAGGGGGGTATAAAGCCACATATCCACATCTTTGACAATTTACAAACTAGAAAGTCGCCTTAAGAGCATTGTATGTGAGATCTTGCTCCTTGGGAACAGACCTTAAAAAGCAGTTGAACTTCCTAAGCCCAGCTACCAGAGACTTATCCATTCCTTGTTTCCTCTGTTTAAGTACACTTGAAAATGACTGATATTATTTCTCATCACTCTTTTTTTTTAAAAGATTTATTTATTTATGCATACAAAGCTGGGGTACAGGCCAGTGGTGCAGGGGCGGTGAGAGGATTCACCAGAGACAGAATGGGGAGCAGAACAGGCAAATCGATGAAGTACACTGCGGAGGGGAGCAGAGGCGGTTCAGGAGAGGTCTGCAGGCCATGTGGAACCACCTCCGGGGCAGGTGGGGATTGAACTCTTGGTGGAAGTGGCTTTAGCTTCTCAGTGCTGTGCCACCAGGGAGGGCCACTCATCACTTTTGACTAGGAAGTTTTTCTCAAAGTGGTGTTGTAGGAAACTAAGAAAATGAAGTCTTAAAACAACTCACAGAAGAGAATAAACCTAGTTCTGTGAATTAGCTGTGTGAAGTATCGAGTAATAGAGAATTGTTCGTAACCTAGCAACTAATTTAGAAACACGGAACAATGCAATCACTGTTTAAAATATCCTGAGGAACATTTAGTCATTAAATCCAAGTATTTCTGACACACCGTTATCTTCTTTTGAGTTCAGTCAATATCCATTACTGTTATTTGCAACAAGTGATAAGATATAACCTCCCTGTTATATTTGAAAAATAAATTGCTCTGATAGAGTTCCCAGGGTCCAAAGAAGTTTCTAATGTTCTTCTTCTGATCTCCATCTTACCCAGGGTTTAGAAATAATCACAGGTAGTGCGAAAAATGGGACCTACTTCCGATTACACATTAACAAGTATAAAATGGTGGAAACCATCACGTGCCTTTCCAAAAAACCTTTCCCTGTCTCCAACTACATCCGCTTGTTTGGCCAACATGAACAAGTCCTCAACAACCTGTGTGATCGCTTTGATAACAATATGGTCAAAGATCTCTACAGGTAAGTTGGCATTACATTTTACTAGAGGAGATGCAACATACAATGTCATGAAGTGTGTTTTGTGATGCCTAGGCGGCAAAATGGAAATCCACAAAAGAGGTTAGAAGAAATTTCTTTTTAATATAATAAAGACCATCTGATCAGTACCATTGGCAGGAGAGCAGAGTGTCACAGTGGCACAGTGTCACAGTGCACACATGTGGCCCCCTTGGCTACACAAGCATGGAGCCCAGATATACTTATGTGTGGCCTCCCCACCATGGAAGGCCCAGATAAGATAATATTACAACTTCCTTACAATACTGGAGTGTGATGAGCAGTGATCAGAAATCTCAGAAGTTCTTTTGGGAAGGATGTGAAAGCACCTGCTTGGGAGATATTCTACAACCCCCAGCATGGGAAGTGCATGACCCCAGCATTCTGCTCGAGGAAAGGTAGATAGTCACTTGCTCAAGGTATTGTAAAGGAGATCCTGCAGTGCTGGTTGGCTACATGGGGTGCTTCCATGGTCTTTTCTAATTCTAAGACACCCGTTCATTCTAGATTTCTGGGAAGGTTAAAACACGAGAGTAGAAATCTACCTTTTGATATAGTCTGCTACTTAGAAAGTTTTGGAGACTTTCCCTCAAGCCACAAAGCACAGTGATAACAGAGTCAGTACCAGATATTGGTAGGTCAGAAGTCACAGACTTCCATTGTCCTCAGTACTTTTGGGGTGACTGCTAGTGTCTGCATGAATCTCTTCTCATTAAAAAAAAAACTTTTTAAATTGTAGGATACAATGTAGAAACCAAAAACCATGTGTGTACATGTACCTGCCGCCTACGTTAGGAAATAATTCTTGATTGGGGGAAAGAAAAGTAGACAGAACCTACAACTTCAAAAATCACTATTGAGTTTCCCTCCTTTCTGAAGAGAAAGGTTGTTTGTACACTGACCTCTGAGGTGCTGTCGAGGGGACAGGGAAAAAGTTCACAGTGACCCAGTAGTAGGAATTGAAGCCAAAAAAGAGGAGTTCTAATGTGTTCCTGGAAACACCAGATTCAAATCTCCATATAAAAATTTTGACTTCACGGATTTTGTGACCTTGAGTGAGCTATTTAGTAGCTTCTGGGTGTTGAGTGTTCACCACATTCCAGGAGCTTTGGGTTTGTTATTTCATTAAATCTCACATAACCCTGTGAGGCAGGAATTTCTAGTCAGTTCTTCACAAAGGCAGGGAGGCTGTCTGGTAAGGGTGGTAGGCTGGGGAGGCATATGGCCTCCTTTTGAATCCTGGCTTCATGACTTGATATTGTGGCTGTTATGACAGATTTTGAGTTTCCCAAAGACCACCAAGGAGCCAATTCCGATGCAAAGCACACGAGGATCTTTATTGCAAGCTTGAGCCTGGGCTCCCAACATGCACTGACTCAGTGGCTGAAGTTGAGAGCCCTGAGCTCAGGGAAGGCAGGGTTTTTATTACTGAAGAAGGGAGTTTCAGCCCAGCAGAGGGGAGTTTTTAGCTCAGCAGTACATTGACTCGTGGACATTGAACAAAGTTATCTTTTCTTAACCTGGTTGGTCTATGCATGTAAGATGTGACCTTGGCTACTCAGCCCAGATGCCTTAGGACATCTTAGGATCTCCTTGTCCAACTAAAAAGTTTGTATCCACCAGATGAAGTTGACCTTCAGATGACAAAGATTTGGATTCCCACTTAACAAGTTGTATGAACAAGGCACCCCCTTCCAATTCAGTCTAGAATATTTGTATATTGTCTACTATAGTTTGTAGATTGTTTTTCTGCTTCTTTCTACTTCTCTGCCTTTATCACATTGCCTGTGATCAATCTCTGAGATTCATCTCAAGCGTCACAGGGACTTAACCGCATGGGGCATTCTTCTTCATCCCACTGTAGTAGGCATTTGAACGCTGACTACATTGCATAAGTGGTTGGCAGCCAACCACTTATCTCTAAGCCCCCATCCCTTAGCCAACATTCCTGAGGGTAAGGCTGTACCTTGATTACCTTTGATTCCACAGTCTGTTGCCTTACACATATAAGTATTGAATAAATGCTAGTGTAAAATAAAATGTGAAAACTAGACAGGAATTCATGAAATGTTATGTATTATATCCAGGTAAAGATTTTCAAGCAATTTTGTCTGATTTCCAAGCTACCCCCAGTATGTTTCCTTAATAAATTTTAAAGAGAAAAAAGGGAAGAAAGAATTCCTTACTTTGAGATTGTTAGAAGCCCCTCTCTGCTTACTCTTCTCTCTGTCTGCTTGGAGGTAACCACTCTTCTGAATCTTGGGTTAATCATTCCATTTCTTTCCTGTAAAGCAGAGATCAGCAAACTCTCTATAAAGGGTCATGATAAATATTTTCAGCTTACAGGCCTCTGTCACAAGTTCTAATCTCTACCACAGTAATGCGACAGCAGCTGCACACAATACGTAAAGAAATGGACATGGCTATGTCCCCAATAAAGTTCATTTGCCAAAAAGGCACCCTGCCAACCACTTGTTTTAAAAGTGTGCCACGTATATATGATTTCCTAACTAATAGATCAACTTGTTTTGCCTACTTCTGAATGGATTCTGTGGCTGACTAGACTGAGTCAACATTGCTTAGCACTGTGTTCATGAGGCTGTGTTCAGGTCGCTGTGCTGGGTTGTGGTTCATTTGCCTTCTTGCTGTGTAATATTCCCTTGTACCACTGTGTCACAATCTGTCGATCTGTTTTTCTGGTGATTGATGTTTGCATTGTTCTCAGTTTGGTGATACTACAAACAATGTTATGGGCTTTGCATACACACCTCAATGTGCAAGAATTTCTCTCAGGTCTACACCATAATAACAAAATGTTCCACAGATCAGTTGTATTGAACTCCCTGCAGGAAAGCCTGAGAGTCCCCAGGGCCCTATCAAACCTCCCTGCTAGGGCCATTCTGCTGTGTAAGGAGGTGTCTGTCTTCCTGTGGTTTTAATTTCCCTTTATTAATTAATAGCTCAACTTACTACCTTTTCATTGCTCATGGCCATTCTTAGTAGTTTCTGTGAAGTGTTCATTTATGACATTTGTCCATTTTTCTTTGGGTTTTCTTCTTATCGAGTCTCACTTTTTAATGGACTCTTGGATAGAAACTTGTGTAGGTTTTGTATTTTTTTTTAAGATTTATTTATTTGTGCATATAGAACTGAGGTACAGGCCAGAGGTGCAGGAGCAGCGAGAGGATTCATCAGAGACAGAATGGGGAGCAGAACAGGCAAATCGATGAAGTTCACTGAGGTGGGGAGCAGAGGCAGTTCAGGAGAGGTCTGCCATGACAGGTGGGTTACCTCCATGGCAGGTGGGGATCGAACTCATGCTGAAGTGGCTTTAGGTTCTTAGTGCAGTGCTTTGCGCCACCAGGGAGAGCACAAATTTTGTATTTAAAGTATATTTTTTCCCATTTTGAGGCATGGATTTTTATTTTCTTTATGAGGTGTCAGTTAGCTCATATACTCATTTCAGTGCAACCTATTTGTGTTTCAGGGAGTGCTTGGGATATTTTTGTCCCTTTGCTTTTGCAGTAGTTTCACAGCAGAGTTGTCAAGCCTTGTGTAAAATCTCATTGATTTGATAAGAAATACATTAAGTTTTAAATCAATTAGGTGAGAATTGACATCCCTGATATTATGTCCAACACCATAGCGTAGTATGAGTCTCCACTTACTTGGGGCTTCTTTAATATTTTCAAGAAGGGCTAATAATTTGATATGATCAATTTTCCCTTGCTATCATACATATGTTTTCTTATTGATTATTGGTGAATAATGCATAGCAATACATTTTATGTGGTTTTAAATTCTGCCGGTTTTCTCAATGCTCTCATTCATTCAAATAACTTACCTGTGGATTCTTTTAGCTTTCTATATAAAAAAAATTATATCACATGCAAATACTGACAGTTTTGTTTGTACTTTTCCAACCTTTGTAAATTTTATATTGTTTTCTTGTCTTACTGCACTGGCTAAGATTAACAATAAGAAGTAGTTTAGAGCCAATGAAAGATGGCCCTTCCTCACTCTTAATTTTAAGAAAATGTGATCAGTGTCAAGTGTATGATGTGCCATTGAAAAAACTTTTCTTATTATTAGCTCCTTAATCATTGTTGTCATGCATGGATTTTTAATATTTTTTCCACCAATACTTAATTTCAGAAACATCATATTAGGAGGAGGTTTTCTTAGAGCCTTGCAATATAAGCTATGTTTTGGGAAAGCATCAAATACCTTAATCATTGATATTCTTTCCTCAAATCTTTGTGTATTTGATGCTGATTGTTATTATAAATGAATAAAAATCCAAGTATTTATCAGCTGAATTGATTTATTCCATAGTGAGTGCATAAGCTTTTATTGTTGCTTCCAACCATATCCAAAATACTTAAGTTAATGGGGAACCAGCTGTTTGCTTTTAAAAAATCCCTTTTGGGGGAGCAATATGATAAAAACTCTTCTCTCAAAAGAAAATGTTTTACATTTGACCAAATTCAAAAGTCAAGTTGTTCTTCCCTGAGAAGGTGATGTTGAAACAGACAGACATTGAGGGTGGGACCACTAACAGGGGCCCAACTGGTAACTGCCCATAGAAATAATTTTATAAAGTTAATCTGATTTGCAACAAGTATTTGGATGGCAAATTGTACGACCCTGGCTGTTGGGAAACACCAGTAGACCTGTGTAAGAGAGAAGCAAATGGGGCAGGACTATGGCGCTGCTTATCAGAGGGCTCATAGTCTGGTCATGCAGAGGCACCACCTCGTGTGCCGTAGTCCCCGCGTGGACATGCAGCTGCAGGCACATTCTCTTCATGTGCCATGTCATGCCGCCAGGCCCCAGTGCTAATTCTGTTATCAGATAGACTGGGCAAGACTCTTTCCAAGCGGGCAAGACTCTTTCCAAGCAGGCAGGCTCTTTCCAAGCAGGCAGGGCGAATGGCTTAGCTGATTTTGGCCGCAACATGATTA